TTCATGAAACATTTTTTTTTTAAAAATTAGCTAAATAGTTTTAATACTTAGTCAAACCACTTAAAAAGTTTATAAACAATTGTTGCTATTATAATAACAACATCAACAACAACGACAACAACAACAACAACAATAATAATAATAATAATATTCAACTAAATTATTTGAATTACCCTGTGGGGGTCTTGTGTTGTTTTTGTTGTTGTTTTGTGTGTTTGTTTTTTAGTGTGTTGCCGAGTATTCTAGCATTGCTAGTTTTCGGATCTAGGCGGTCTTCGGACTTGTCCTCCCAATTTTCTCAGTCGTCGGTTGTATTATTCAGCTAGTGGCTATAACTTTGCACATTTGTGCGTTTATATATAAATCCTCTATCGTTTCGACCAAAAAAAAAAAAACTAAATTATTTGAACATGATCTCTCCAAATTATAAAACATTCCCCCATAAACTTTTTTCAATCAATATAGTGATTCATATATATTTAAATAATTTGTATTTATATTATTTTATTTTTATTAATAATTAAATATTAAAAATATGATATGTTCATTATCTAGAATTTTAATATTAAAATTACTTATAATATTTTACTTACATTTTTGCATTTACACATGATGATTATCATAATAAATTAATAATACCTATCCACCTCCTAAATTAGTTTTTAGCATCGGTAAGCAGTGACGTAGCCGAAGACCAAAAAACCGATATTACTTTGCCCTTTTATCTTTGCCCAAACAACTCATCACAAAATAGAGGACTTATAAAGGTGCCATTTTTTTCATCTGGTCCTAGAAAATGGTATAAAGATTCCATATTCGCAGAGGCCCACCAGCTCCAATCACACATATCAGATCATTTCAAAAAAGTTCCTAACCCTATCACACTAAAAAGGGACTTTCATTGATTGGCTCACTTTTAACGGAGACCTGAGCCTTGACATCCAAAAGCCTACATTTTTTGGCTCAGTTCTTTTAGTTCCTTGGCTCTGGTATTTTGCAATCATTTATTGCTCCTTGTATCTTTGTGTGTAAATTGATTTTGGTCCGTTCTATATATATGCATATATTTCTTCTAGGTGTGGGATTCTGTTTTTCAATCTTGAGATATTGATGGGTTTGGTTTTTATTCTCAGGTGTTTTGTTTGTTTTTTCCCATTTTGTATAGTTTTTCATTTTTTTGAACCATTCGTTGATGATATTGTTCGGTTCTCCAACTTGTTTAGTTTAGAGATTAGACATTAGTCGTGTTAAAGACGAGGGTTTAAGACAAATCACGATGATGAAGGATGTAGTTGTTTGGATGATATGAAGATTTCCATGTGGTCATGAAAATGAATGAACTCGATGTTGGCTTCTTTTAGTTATAGTTAATATTGAATGAAAAATCTGTTAGCTGCTTATTTAGTTCATTTCAGGCATATGGCTATGGGGATTTACACTTCAAGATAGCTGCTGTTGTCGGTCGTAAGCTTAATTTTGTAGGAAACTAAACACACACAAAGAGAGTAATATAATTCATTATGTTAATGTTGGATAATAGAATACTCGTATTTTATTTTTCTATCATTAAGTTTGCTTCTATAATGATTATGTACTTTGGATGACATTAAGTTGAATTTTGCAGGAAGGACAAAAAAATTCAATCTCATTCTTCAGGAGACAAGCGAACTATGTTTTTGTAGATTGAAATAGTGGTGGGTGATTAGATTGGTTTAGGATGGCAGTCAAGCCATTTGAGTGGTATTGTAAGCCGGTCAAAGATGGAGTTTGGTCAAAAGCCGTGGAAAATGCATTTGGAGCTTACACTCCGTGTGCCACAGACTCTCTAGTTATCGTCGTTTCACATCTGGTTCTTCTGGGGTTGTGTTTAAATCGGCTATGGAAGTTGAAGAACGATTTTTCCATTCAGAGGTTCCGCTTAAGATCGAATTATTACAACTATGTGCTGGGGTTGTTGGCTTTTTATAGCACCGGAGAACCTTTGTTCAGGTTGATAATGGGATTTTCAGCATTTAATGTAGATGGTCAGAAGGGTCTTGCCCCTTATGAGGTGGAATGCTCTCATCTCATATCTTTACTATAATTTTATGGTCCACTGTTCAATGTCTCACGATATGTTTCTTCTATTCTCTTTTTATTTTTTATTTTGAGAAAAAAAAAAATAGTGCCTAGGCTATCAACTTGCTATCATTTTAATTATAAGGTTGGACGTTACTTATCTAGACACGATGGGTACCAAGTTCCCATGAATTTGACTTAGGCTATGTTTGGTAATCAAATAAGCTAGCTTATAGCTTATTTGGTTAACTTATAAGCTCCTTGTATTCAAATAAGTTTCGTTTAGTAGGACGAGTTTTTTAAAAAGCTTTAGCTTCTTTGGGTAGCTTTTCATATAAGCTCGTTGAAATTTTTATTTCAGTCAGCTTACAACTAATTTTACTAAACACTTTTATCATATAAGCTAGTTTTTCCGCTATAAGTTATAAGCTCGAAATTCACTTATAAGCTATCAGGTAGCTTATCAGTTAGTTCTACCAAACATAGCCTAGACACAATGAATATTGAGTTCCCATGAATTTGACTACTGTATTTTATGTTGTATTTTATGTTGAAAGCTGAAAGAAACTGATGAATGAGCACGAATGAAAGTGTAAAAAAGCGGTTCATCCCATTCGCCTATCTGTGAAATTCTATTAAAGATTAGAATATTGATACAAATTATCCTCAGGATAAAAGTTCATCTCTTGCATTTTGTTTGCTGAATACAATATGTCATTTAATTCAAGTTGAGCTCATGAAACTTTGCTGCTGACAAAAGGGTTCTTTTTGTTTTATTCATTTTGTTGTAGATTGCTTCCCTCGTCATTGAAGCTGTGACATGGGGCTCGATTCTTCTGATGATTGGACTAGAGACAAACGTTTATGTTCGTGAATCACGTTGGTCCGTCAGATTTGGTGTTATATATGCTCTTGTAGGGGATGCCGTTATGATGAATCTTGCTCTTACTGTTAGAGAATTTATCAACTGGTTAGTACTCTCTTAATATGCTTGCCTGGATGTTATTGTAGTTAACTCCATGAAATGGTAAACAGAAAAACATAAACTTTGTAAAGAGATTGATAAAGTCCTAGTGTCCGTAAGTGTTAGTTAATCTTTTCACTCCTGTTTACGGATAGAAACATTTTTTATGGTTTATCATGTGCCTTTTCTCATTCCTTTTGCATTTTTTTTCAAGTATTTTCATTATAGTAAAAATGTTTTAGATGTAAACTTACATGGCAATCTATTATAATTAATTTTTCATATTATAGGCACAGAAGTTGGCT